TTGCGATGCGATGATTATCAGTAGCTATCGATGAATATGTGTTCGTTCGCTGTGAATGGTACCGTGTTGAATTGACTGAAAATGTTAAAATGTATGGCGCTAATTTAAACGTTTAAACGCAACAGAGCAATCAAACATTGGGTAAACGACATAAGCTATTTTGTATATTTTATTATATGATATATGTATATTTTTCTTAAAGATATTTAGATATTGTACAAGTTTATTACAAATCTGGCAGAATGGGCGGACATGTGCACACCAAATGCTTATCACCATACGCATCATCGATTCTGCCAACAGTAGGCCAAATTTTAGCATCTGGCTTCACGAACAACTGCCGATGAAAATGAATTAGGTATATAAATAATGTAATGTATAATATGGAATAGTTACCGCTGGGAAGGCAGCCTGTTCACGTGTGTAGGGACGGTTCCATTTGTCCGATATGACCTGGGCCTGTGTGTGTGGCGCCATTTTCAGGGGATTAACGGTTTTGTCCATGCGCCCTTCTTCGATCTCTGCAATTTCCTCTCTAATGGAGATCATGGCGTCACAGAACCGATCCAACTCCTCTTTGTCTTCAGACTCAGTTGGCTCTATCATCAGTGTGCCGGCTACGGGCCAGGACATGGTCGGTGCATGAAAGCCGTAATCCATAAGACGCTTCGCCACATCGACGGCCTCAATGTTGGCCGTCTTTTTAAGATCCCGTATGTCCAGTATGAACTCATGGGCCACCAGCTGCGAGTTTTCTGCCTTGTACAGCGTTTTGTAGTGCTGCTCCAGACGCTTGGACATGTAGTTCGCATTCAGGATGGCTACTTGGGTGGCTCTCTTCAAACCACGACTACCCATGAGTTTAATGTACGACCAGGAGATAGGTAGGATTGCCGGACTGCCAAAGGGCGCGGCTGAGACGACACCAAAGCTGTGCTCCTCGCTAGCGAGCGGACTGACAACTGGATGGCCAGGTAGGAACGGTGCCAGATGTGCTTTCACTCCGATGGGTCCCATGCCAGGGCCGCCGCCACCATGCGGTATGCAGAAGGTCTTGTGAAGATTCAGGTGAGACACATCGCTTCCGTAGTCTCCGGGCCGGCACAGGCCCACCTGAGCGTTCATATTGGCACCGTCCAGATACACCTGGCCACCGTGTTGGTGCACCAACGTGCAGATCTCGGCCACTGTCTCCTCAAACACGCCCATGGTCGAGGGATAGGTGATCATGAGGCAGGACAGCTCATTGGAATGCTCCGCCACTTTGTCACGCAAATGGGCCATATCGATGGAGCCATCCGAGAGAATTCGTATGGGCTCTACCTGTAATGGAAAGTTAGTAAAATATTGGCAAGGGCTTCATAAAGTTAGCATACCTTCATGCCAGCCATTTGGGCCGAGGCTGGGTTTGTGCCGTGCGCAGAAATGGGAATCAGGCAAATGTTGCGATGTCCCTCGTTGCGGTGCTCGTGGTAGCTCCTGATGGCACGCAGGCCGGCGTACTCGCCTTGAGCACCAGAGTTGGGCTGAAATGAGATTTTGTCGTAGCCCGTGATTTCGCAGAGATCCCGCTCCAGTTCGCTAAACAGTTGATGAAAGCCTTGAGCCTGCTCGACTGGTGCAAAGGGATGAATCTCTGTGAAGTGTCGGAACGAGCAGGGCATCATCTCGGTGGTCGCATTCAGTTTCATGGTGCAGGAGCCTAGTGGGATCATGGAATGCACCAGCGAGATATCCTTGTTCTCCAGCTTCTTCATGTAGCGCACCATGCGAGACTCGCTGAGAGAGAAAGACTTCGTTAGCTTTGTTCCGCCTGACTGATTGACTTTCTGACTGATTACCTGTGATAGCTGTTGAATATGGGATGCTGCAGGTAGGGCGAGGTGCGCAGGAACTTGGAGTTCTCAATGGAGTTCTTCAGCACATCCTTGCGTGCTAGCAGCTCCTCCACCGTTAATGGTGCCTTGAAGCACCACAAGAGGTCGTTCACATCTGCCACACTCACCGTCTCATCCAAGGCCACGCATACGGTGTCATCTGGCAAGTAGCGCAAGTTGATGTGCTTGTGCTCGGCGCGTTCCTTGAGCTCCTCCAGCGAGAGATCGCCTGAGAGTCTCACGTGCAGAGTGTCAAAGAAATTCTTGTTGACCACCTCATGGCCAGCCTCGAGCAGACCCGTCTGCAGCGTCAGTGTGAAGTGATGAATGCGATTCGCGATGGCCTTCAGACCCTCCGGGCCATGGTAGATGGCGTACATGGCGGACATGTTGGCCAACAGGGCCTGGGCGGTGCAGATGTTGCTCGTAGCCCTGTCGCGTCGGATGTGCTGCTCGCGGGTCTGCAGCGCCAAGCGGTAGGCGTCGTTGCCGTCCATGTCGCGCGTCACCCCAATCATGCGACCCGGCATCAGGCGCACCAGGCTCTGCTTGCAGGCAAAGAAGCCGGCGTGCGGGCCGCCATAGCCCAGGGGCACGCCCAGGCGCTGCGAGGTGCCGATGGCAATGTCCGCGCCGAACTCGGCGGGCGGACGCAGCAGCGTGAGGGCCAGCAGATCGGTAGCCACCACCACCAGGGTCTAAGAGTGTGAAAGAGAACGAGATAGCTGAGATTCGGGTAACTCTTTCAGCATTTACATCTATCTTACGCCATTTTTGCGTGCCAGAGCCGCAATGTCCTCAAAGTCCTTGACATCTCCGTAGGTATCCGGATACTGGAGCAGAATGCCGGACAGCTCTCGGCTGCGCAGATCGGCCCGCTCAATGGGACCCACAACGATATCCAGCTCCAGTGCATCGGCACGCGTCTGCACCACCGCCAAGGTGTGAGGATGCACCTTGTTCGACAGGTAGAGCTTCCTGCGCTTGTTGTGCCGGTTGGCCAGGCACATGGCCTCCGCAGCAGCTGTGCCCTCGTCCAGCAGCGAGGCATTCGCCACATCCAGCCCCGTGAGCTCGGTGACGAGCGTCTGATAGTTGAGCAGCGACTCGAGGCGACCTTGGGCGATCTCCGGCTGATAGGGTGTATACTGTGTGGTCCATCCGGGATTCTCGAAGATGTTACGCACGATCGTGTGGGGCACATGGCAATTGTGGTAGCCCATGCCGATGTACGAGCGCCACAGCTGATTCTTGAGCGAAATGTCACGAATACGTTGGATTAGCTCGTGTTCGTCTGTAATGCGATCGAGATTATATATAAGTATGTATGTATTTGTGATGTGCTTCGAGTCAAGCAGCAGTCAACGACGCGCTAGCTGGCGGACCTATTGAACCGCGCTTATCTCTTATCACTGCCCAGGGGATCGCGCCAGGGGGTCGACGTGGCTGACTTTTTTTTGAAAAACATTTCCACTACTTACTCAGAGGCTTGTCGAGGCTCAGATCCCGCTTCAATTGTATGCTCTGCGGCACCGCCTTCTCGGTGAGCTCTGCCAAGGACTTAAAGAGAGAGAGAGAGTGAGAGGGGACATTAATTTGTTAGGCTACAGAGTAATCTCACTGCTTGCTCACCTTAAAGCCCAGCGTGTCCAGCATGGCAACCACATCCGTCTTGCGTGGTCCTATATGACGACTGGGAAAATCCGATTTGGTCGGAAAGAGCACATCGCCCACGGGCGTCGTGGCCAGAGAGCGAGCGTTGAGCCTCAGCATTAAGCTGCAGCTGCGCCTTGCCACGATACGTTGCATTCTGATTTATCTAAGCAGTGCTTAAAGGTGTTGTAAGGCTCTACCTCCTCGGTCACGTCCAGTCCAAACGTCTGCCAAACAGCGACTGATTCTAGTGCCTCTCCATGCGAGCTGATAGAGCCCATCTTCGATCTTATCACTAGAGAGGCCGACGCTGAGCTGAACTGAACTGATCTCAGCTGCTCTTATACGGTACACACGGCATGCCCCATAGAAACAACACTCAATGGGTATTTTCGCATTAAATGCACTTTAACATATTTATTTGTTGCTCTAATGAAATCAAAACGTTTTTTGTAACAAAAATACTCGTTTTTGTTGTATATTCAATATTTCGACAAATTTTCAACATTAACAAAATGAATATTATAAAAAGTTTCAACAACACGGAATATGCGCATACAAAACCAAAAGATAACATTATAAATATAAACATTTTGTTGTTCCACGAATCGAACTGAAGCCTGTCGAATTTCTTGCCTACTTAATTGTATATATATGTAAGTATATATATGGATCTTGCTTGATTTTTTAACAATTGCATTTAACATATATTATTTTGAGAGCATTCGGCATCTATCTATCTAGCCAAATAAACTTTTGGGTTTTCATAAAATTTTTCTAATCGTTTTGATTAACTTTTTGTTTCTCAGCTTGCTGTTGTAATAATTCTTGAAGCCATTTTTTGTCTTATCCGTTTTGGAACTCGATTTTGCAAAATTGAAATTCTCGAACTGCAATTGGTATGCATGAATATATGTATATATAAACATATATGTATATGTAGATACATATATATTGTATTGTTAAACACTTGTATATGTTGTATATGTATATATTTTAACTAACGTCGTTTTGGTTGTCATTTGAAGTCAGCTAACCCATCTCAGAATCATCTAAGTTTTTCTTTAGTTTCATAAATACGAAATTGAATTTGAAATTGAAATACTTTTTTCAAGATATACATTATAATTGAGTTGATGCAGTGCTCGATTAGAGATTTCGTCTTAAAAGTTTTCTTTTTTCTTCTTTATATTTTAGATATATTGTTAGTATGTATATAGTAAAGGGTATATATATGTATATATATATATGTATATA